ATTTGGGTAAGCAAATCAGACCGTGTCACAATCGGCAATTTCCGGTCTCGCAATTACTTTGTCACCGCTTTTGGTCGCCGACTTGAAAAACACCTTTCATCACTGCGGGCGGCGGCATGAAAATGCTCATTATCCGCGTTTTTTTTTGACTCCATCATCTGAGATGATGAACCAAGGATGCTAAACTTGCACTGTGCTCCATTGCTGGAATCATTAATAGGAGGAGTGCGCCACCTCCCTACAACAGCTTGGTTTTCAGACCTGGGCAGTTTAATGACCGCGTTGATCGTGAAGAAGGATTGAATGCCTATCGCCCAGTGTGCTGTGGCACGTCAACGAACGTGTTTGTTCCGCTGGACATGGAAGTCGAGCCGCGCCAGGCCGTGCTGTGGTACTCTCAACTCTTGCCATCCTCACGAGCTCCGTTGTTTGATTTTTGCCTCACCACTGAGTCACCTGGGACGTCCCTCTCATGGGTAGGAAAGTTCACTGTTCATACCCGTCATTCATACCCATCGCAGAGGTTTGTAGAATCGTTAAACTGGTGGTTTCACGCACACCCACGTGGAAAGAGGGGACACTACTTGCATTCACCAGCACCACTGACCCCTGAACCCACGGAGCTTCATGCGAAACTAGGGTAATGACTGTTTTGCGCACCCTGCATCCGTCGAGGTTCTGGTAAAGGAGGATGACGCTTACAGGGGCCGACTAATGTCAGAAATGTAGCTAGATCCATCTAAGGTTTGCCAGGGCGTGCTGCATTGGAGACAACACTTGTGGTTAGTGAATGGGTACAGCCCGTCTCCTTGCCCACTTTGAGAACCTTATTCGGAGCGGCCGCCAGTGGAGAACCCACGCAGACCTAGGAGCCTTAAGGTATGATATATGATACGTCATGTTCAAACGTTCATGACCCGCATGGAGTGGCTGAGGCAGTTTCGTCCCAAGGCCTTCCTCTTGTAAACTCTTACAAGTCTTAGAAATACTACAACGATAATGTCGGCAGTATCGGCATGATTGTAGTTCATGTCGGAGCTTGAAATAGCAATCGCGATTACATTTTTTTAGTGGAAGACGAGCCTGTGATCTCAACCAACAATCAAAATCCCATCTCATCCGAATCCCTTTCATATCTTCTATTTCCCTCCACGTAGACTCACTTAGACCCCCCTTTTTGACTACCTGCAACGATGTCCGATGATGAGCACAACCAGACCTTCGACCAGGTCATATTCTTATCTCTACCACTGATCATACTCGATCCTGATCGTGCTCGATGTCAATTTTAGGCCAGCGCAGGCGCCTCTCTCACCTACCCTATGCAATGCTCTGCTCTCCGCAAAAACGGCCATGTCGTCATAAAAGGCGCGTTGCTTGACCCTCACATCTTGGTTTTGTCTGATCTATAATGTTCTATTTGGCAAACAGGCCGCCCGTGCAAAATCGTCGACATGTCAACCTCTAAGACTGGAAAGCACGGACATGCCAAGGTCCATCTCGTCGCCATCGACGTAAGTTGTCATCTCATCGATGCTCTTTTTCATGTTTTGACTCTTTCCATCCTCCTTCCTTCCACTCTGCTCAGATTTTCACGGGTAAAAAATTGGTATGAACTTTGATCAATCAATTCGGAGAACGCCGTTGATTGATGTTATTTGGACTGGAAACAGGAAGATATCTGCCCGTCTACACACAACATGGACGTCCCTAACGTGAAACGGAATGAATACGCCGTCGTTAGTTTTTCTTCCGTTCGCTATCCATCTACCAGTCTTCATGACTTCTCGCAGCTGAACATTGAGGATGATGGTTTCCTTACCCTCTTTAACCCAGACCCAAATGCGGCTGACAACAACAAATCCGATGTTAAACTTCCCGAGGGCGACCTTGGAAAGGAAATTCAGCAAGCATTTGATGATGCAAAGGATGTACTGGTTACGATCGTGTCAGCTATGAACGAGGAGGCGGTCATCTCTTGGAAGGAGGCGCCCAAGGGTTCTTAAATGCATGCATGCTGTAAGCCACCGCCTAACCCCTTGAGCAACTCATCACCAGTTTTCTGATACATCCATGCTACACCCGGATATAGCCTCCCTTGCACTTAATTTGTGGTCATCCGGTCTTCCTTTACTTTTATCTCGTTATACGTTGTCGCGGTGCCCTACCTCATTCAAGTCATCAACCAAGAATCTGTGCACGTGCATGTACATTCCTGTCGTTCAGTTATGTTTGAATTTGTTAGTCATTGTTGTAGTGTAGGGCGTGGTGTGCAGAACGTTCAGGCTAGATCGATACATGTATTCTTTTGTGTACAGGTTGAGTGTGTTAGCCTGTGTGATTGTCTAAGAGGTAACCCGATTGCAAAGTATAATAAGTTCCAATTATTTTAGTAGCAATTAGTATTGTTCTCGGTTGTCCCAATCCACGCTGCATCAATAGAGGGAGTCAAACCTCCCGATTCTGCCGTCGATTCTGAGGTCGATTCTGAGGTCGATTTTCGTCACCCAGAATCGTGGGAGAGCAGAATCGACCGTGAATCGGTGAAATACCTATAGAGTTAGATGAGCGAATCAGGTGTCGTCCCCCATGGCCAGTGACGAAGCCGAACATTATTGTCACATCACATTGAGGTTGGCAAACTGTGCCACTGAACATGGCCATCAAAGGATAATATATCATCATGCGGCGAACACTGGTAAGTGGCGACGCCGCATCCGCGTCTGCCATCCTGTGGAAACGACACGCATTGTAGGCACACATGGGTGTTATCTAATCTGGCGCCAACGGATCACGTATCACTATATCACGTTTGGCGCTCATCTGCTGCACCAGGGTGCTAATGTGGTTCGGGTGGCCAGGCGAGTATAAATGCTGGGGTAATGCAAGCTTGCTCTGCAGAACAGCAGTGCGCGTTTTCACCACCAGCAGCTCCTCCTCTCTGTATTCCTCGATTCCTCCAAGGAACGCACAATGTCTCAAAACACCACATATTCCTACAACGATGGTTACAACCATGATTTCACCGATGAGGTATTAAAAAAAAACTCCGATGTCAGTTACTCCTACTCACTTTCGTGTTGAGTTCCACAGGACGCCCTGAGGCTTGTCTGCATTGCCGCGTCCCCCGAGTACCGCCCCCACACTTGTCACTGGGTAGACAGTGGTATTCGGTGCGACAGTGTGATTCAGGGGCTCTACTTCCCGACGCACCTGCGCGAGCGCCACGGCATTTTTGTCGTAGGACACGACAGCTTGCGTTTTCAGTGCCAATGGGATGGTTGCCAGGACACGTCTCTGGTTAATAAGGAGATGCTGATGAGGCACATTCAAGAGAGGCATTTGCTTTGGAGGTGGCACTGCCCAAATTGCGGGATGGTGTTTACCCGCAAGTCATCGAGAAATGCCCATCACGCCCTGTGTATGGGTACGAGTAACAATTAGGTGTCTTGAGAGGCATAATCCCCCCTCCCCCCTTTCTTGGTCGGTTTCCCCTTTTTTGGTTTCGAGTTGTCTGTAGGAGGGACGGTGTTTGAATTCTTGGGACCCACAACATCGCAGCTGGTCTGCTATCATGATCGATCGAGTACGTACGGTAGTATCTTTTGGTGTTTCTCTTTTGCTGGCTTCATTTGTTCGCAACTTTCTATAGCATAGTTAGGGTTTCGTCTGCCAGGTCATTTCACATTGTATATTATCTATTCTGCACTGTATGGATACGAAGTGTGATCCTCGGGCAAGTCGTGTGAGCCGCAAGTCAAACAACTGTATAGACGCAAATTAACCCGCCTGGCATTATTAGAAAAGTGTAGTGCATCGATGATGCTCCATTACCACTCAGCATGATGTGTAGGTTTAAAACTTCGGTCACGGAGTCATTAGCCCTGTCAGGTGGTAAACATTGTCAGACAGGAGGTAAGCAATGTTGATCGATCGATGATCGATATCGATGATCATTCCATCTGTGTACGGAGATCGTCACGTTGAACTCGCCATGATTTACCAAGCTGTAGATGATCGAGCTGCCTTGAGGCGCGTGTGCATAACACATGGGCACCTAGGTGAAGGCCCTGACTTCCTGTACGAGCGTCTATCATAGTTGTTGGAATATAAATATCGGTGGAAGATGGTGACGGTCCTCGGAGTCGAAGCCCAAGATGAAGTTCGAGTTCGAGCGTCCTAACGCGTGTGATTCGAGAGTTCGAACGATAGGTATTTTCGCTCGAGTTCGATATCGCGATGCTGTAGAGAACAGTCGATAGAGAGCGCAAACTGCAATGTGATTCCACATCATAATCACATGTGAGTTATATTTATATGTAGTTGTTATTGCTATGTTGGACTGACGAGAAGCACATGTCGGCCACTTGCAGGGTGAACGGTCAGGAATTGCGGGAGGTACTAGCTTGAAAAATATGGGAGGCTGTAAAAGCCAGATGGTGCTAAACATCCGTAAATGACATCAAGAGCAACCTATTACATCCCGCGATTTCCATAAAAGGGCCATTAACTGTTCTGAATCTGATCAACCGCAATCAAGGACTCGACTCTCGACACGCATACTTTGATACCAAGACTTGTGTCGTCTCCTGTTCCCCTGAACCCCTGCATTGTCTTCCTTCGTACTCCCTCTTTTGTCCCATGTGGAATGACACCCTACCGTATAACTCTTTCTTCTAATGACCACTGCATTTTTAACGCGTGGTGAACAAACACTTCGCACAACGCTGTTACGCTAGTCTAAAAGGTATGACATAATATTAATACAGAACTCTCGAGCCCTCGGTATGATCTCAAATTTTGGACCGACTCTGCCGAGGAAATCAAAGATTCGGCACTTCGTCCTCAAATATGAACACTCTACATTTCATCTTCCAATGGGACACTGACACAGAAGAGCATTCTGGAGCGCATTTTATTACCCTCGATTGGTGGGATGGTTATTTCTCATAATATGGTCTGTCAAGTACTGAATATTGCATATTGAGGAAATAACTGTGTCGGATATGGTGTAATGGCTAACATTACCGCCTCTCATTTGGTAATGTCATCGCGGTAGCTCGGGGTTCGATTCCCCGTATCCGAGGATCTTTTTGAACACTGCTTTCCTAAGCGGCCCTAGGACTTCACTACTAAGTTTCCAACTACTTACCCCGGCAGTCGTGCCGTCCGTTGCATTCTCAAACCAATATATACCTATAGCCATTGATGACGCGGACGTCCAGACGAAATTACGCATATGCATGAGCAATACAAAATCATATACATTCCCATGAGATACAGTGGGGGTGTGCAGTACGATGGTGGACGAAAACAACACAGAAGAATAGAAACAGATATTGTAGTAGTATGTCCACAGAGAAATCCAACTTATGTCGAATAGAAATCCGTCATGCCTGCGTCGAGACGTCTTTGTATCTAGAGAAAATCCAACCTCTGGTCGTAGATTTGAAAATAATCAAGGGATTTACCGACAACTACATACTGTAAAACTGAAACATGCACATTGCACATATAATCACTGTCCACGGCGTCCATTCGTTCCACAAGCGTACCACCATAAGAACGAGTCCCGACTTCGGATTGGACGTTTAATTATCGAGGTGGTTGTATGGCGTCGACAGCGACGGTAACTGCATCGGCGGTCGTTGAACAGCTCGATGGATCTCCCGATGTACTGACATGGCTGAACACCGTTCTCAACGCTCCCGAAGCTAGCCCTTCATCCTCCCCTAGCACTGATTCTCCACCAGCCATCCATGCACCCACTCTTGACACACTTGTGACCGCGACATCCATAGCAGCTCAATCAACGTCTGCTACCCTCGAACACACGATTGACGACATTGCTCGCGCTGCACCTCGTCTCGCCTATGACCTTCACTTTACTCGAGACGGAGCACTGGCACTCCGTACTGTTCTAGCACAGTGCCTGTGGCCCTCTCAGCCTCGCAGCTCAGCAACTCCCGTCACCAGTGGTCAGTTTGACGCGACTACTCAAACACTCGAACGACTCCAGTATCTTGATACTCTGAAAACACGAATGGAAGCTGCCCGCGATGTCCTTCGTGAAGCAGAGTCGTGGGGTGCCCTCGAAGCAGAGGTCACAGCCTTACTTGCAGAGAAAGCGTATGCACGTGCGGCTTCTAGGCTATCGGCTTCTGCTAGGCTAATACCCGCGTCCGCCCGCACGACTGGCTTGTCCACCACCTCGTCAGGCGCGGTGCACGAACCTCGTCGTTCTCTCTTGACATCGCTCGCAAATCAGCTCGAGGCAGCAGTATCTCCTGATCTTGTACGCGCCGTGACAGCTTGCGACGTGGAGTCATGCCGGTCATTCTATGCTATATTCGTCGATATCGAACGCGAGGGTGAATTTAGGAACTATTACTATGGTACACGACGCAGTGTCATAGTGGAGATGTGGGGTAGGGCCGTCATCTGAGGGCGAATCTGGAGTCGGCGAAAAGAGCGAAAGAGAGCCTCCACAAGCCCTCAGCGCATTTTACCCGTCCTTCCTTTCGTCCTTCTTGATCATGCTAGAGGGAGAACGCGCTGGCCTTCCCAGTATCTTCCCAGACCCAGAACGCACGCTCTCCACGCTTATCTACACCACTCTCGGCGTGCTCACACCTCCACCAAGTCAACGCCTAGCTGCTCTCTTCCATGGTGGAAGTGGCGCAGCCGCATTGAAGGACGTCGTCAAACTGTTCCAAGCAACTGAGGAGTTTGCACGGAGCGCGGAGAGGATCCTCGAGAAATTGCGTGTTTCGGGGCACCCTTTGTTATCTGCCCCTCCGTCTTCTTCCTTGAGTGATGGCAAACGCTCTAGGAGGCGTTCTATGCGGATGTCGATGTCGTGGAGGTCAGTGAGTAGTTCCGGACGGCCTGTAATAGGAAGTACGGGCAGCACGAACGCTGTCAGTGGAGGTGGTGACGAAGGTACAGAGTGGGATCAATACCTCTTCCAGCCTTTCCTCGATTTCCAGGTCGACTTTGGTGTCCTTGAAAGGCGGTTATTGGACGAGACTCTCGAGTTCCCCGCTAGCGATGTCCTCGGTGACCTAGACGGTGACCGAGCAGCACGGGCAATGCGTGAACGCGCCATAGACGTGTTCAGTGCTGCGGAAGAGTCCATCGAGCGCTGTCTCTCGTTCACACACGGATACGCTTCCATAGGGCTCGTGCAAGCTCTGGACGATTTCATCAGCGCATTCGTCGAAGCTTGGACGAGTTCCGTTTCCGATCTCGCGGACGTGGAGAGGCTCGGGGTCAGACCCAGCTTAGAGTCATTGTCAACGGCAGTCGATGACGAAGACTTAGCGGATCTGGACTACACCTCGCATGACTGGGCGCATATACAGAGAGCGTTGCACCTTCTCGCTGCTGCACGAGCTGTGAAAGAGCGTCTTGGGGTGTTCGAGACCCGCCTCAGAAATTGGGTTGGTCAGGTGTCGATGGCATTCAGAAGTGCACTGGAAGGTGGAGGGACGGGTGTGTACACCCCTGGTGCGACCAAGGGCGAGGGGATGCTGCTTGCACAATCGTCTTTGAACTCGATGGAGCTGAGAGAGCTGCTCACGCGAGTGGCATCGCCTTCACAAACTACGTCTCCGATTCTTCTGCCAGGCGCGCATTCGGCACTCAAGGCATTTGCACGCACCAACCAACGAACCCTCCAACGCGTCCTCTTGTCCCCGTTGTATGTGCACCTCGCGTCATATCCTTCCCTCCCACTCTGGTCAGCTGCACGTACCCAAGAACCAATCCCTGGCGTGGCTGTGCCAACTTTCTCCTTGAGCCCCAGCGAGATAGTCCACCGCGTCGGCGACGGGTTGTTAAATCTTCCGAGACTGTTCGAGGTTTACGCGGAGGATGATGCGCTAGGATTCGAGATTGGGGGGTTGGCGGGGGGTGTGAGCGGGGACGGGGCGGAAGGTTCAGCTGGAGAGGGAGATGGGCAAGGGTATTCTCCGGAGGCCGTGACTGCTACATGGCTCTCGTCGCTTGGCCGCGCGACGGTCGTGCATCTTACTAAAGATATCCTACCGCAGATCAAGGTGTTGAAGCATCGCATGGTGCCGAAGCAGCTCAGTGCCGACTTGGGGTATCTTTCAACAATCGTGCGTGCACTTGGCGTCGAGGAAGGAGAGCTAGAGCGGTGGAAGACTTATGTCGAGATGAAGGATGACGGGGGACGGGTGGCGCTCACGAGCGAAGACGGAGGCGATAAGATACTGACATTAGTCGCAAGAATGAGAGGCTGGACTGCATAGTTTCGTTTCATAATTACTCGATGTTGTAAAGTAACTGCACTGCGATAGATAATTAGCCCGTGGCATCACGCAGCAATTAGTGAATAACGGCAATGGCAGAACGGCACAAGAATACTAGGCGGGGATATATAGTACAGCAATGTTGTCCAAGGGGCACATTCCGGTCGAACTCGTTGCAAGCAGCCCTCTACCGCGCATATGGATGGAACGAATGCTGTCCGCGAGTCGACATGCGAGAAGGACCCAGCCCCGAATTCATCGCCATACGTCCAGCGTTCGCACCCATCCCCGCGCCGACACCCATTGCTCCACCCATGCCCATCCCCTGCCTCATCCGCATGCCCATGTTCCCCATTCCCATACCCGTGGCAGGCTGCAGCATCCCCATGCCTACCCCAGCCATACCCATGCGCATAGCCATAGGATTCATCCCACCCATAGTACCCATCCCTCCCCCTCCCATCATTCCCATCCCACCCATCCCCATCCCACCAAAGTTGCCCATCCCCATATTCCCGCCCATACCTCCCATACCGCCCATGCCCATGCCCATCATCATCGGGTTCACCATGTTCATACCCCCAGTGCCTGCTGCGCCCATAGCGGGCATCTGGTTCATCATGCGCTGGTAGAGCATGGAAGCGGCGGGGTTGCCGGCTTGTTGTGCGTTGAAGGGTACGAGGCCGCTGAGGGTGGCGTGCGGGAGTCTTGATCATTGAAGTAAGGATCACGGTTGTTTGCAACCATGTTACGGGCTTGGTCGCGTTGGCTACGGGGCTGAGCAGTTTTTACCTCGATCTGTAGTACAGTATGAGGACTACCTTGCATATGCGTAAATAGGAATGGACGGGGAGACTTGCCTGCTTGTCATCCAGGACGAGACCGAGTTTCCCAACGAATTGGTCCGAGTTCGTCGCGTCCTCGAAGGTCACGAAACCAAAACCTTTTGAACGACCAGATTCTCTGTCCACCATGACTGTCGCATCGACGACTTTGCCGAAAGCAGAGAAAAACTCTCGCATGGAGTCTGCGGATGTGATAGGGGAAAGACCACCGACGAAATAACGAGTATTTCTCAGGTGTTCTTCTCGTGGAATGGCTCGTTTGGGGTCAATCTACAAATAAGCTGTATCAGCAACACAAACTCAGACGATGTACTGTAGTTGACTGACTGATTTGCCGTCCAAAATGTGGTCGCGGGCAAGGACAGCGGTGACAGGACTCCTGGTCCTCGAATGTTAGGAACGCAAACCCTCTCGACCTTCCGTCAGGGTCTCGCATGATGGTACAAGCGTCCACCTTTCAAGAGTAGGGTCAGTGTCTCCTTATTTCCAGATACCCTTTACGCAGCGCCGAAATGATCACCTTGCCGAATCCCGAGAAGTACTTCCTCAAACCCTCTGCTCAGACAGGTGAAAAGGTCACGAGTGTGTCAGTGATAAATGCATTGAATTCTATGTGCATGGAGCGTTATACCATCTGTAGTGTCCCAGTTAAGGCCTCCAATGAACATTTTGCTAATCGAGGTTGTTCCCGTAGGAAAATTGCGTATCGAGATATTTAGAGTAGGGCAGTGAGTGCGTGCATGAGAATATGAGAGACGAGTCGATGGGTCCAGCGGTATGCGATATCGTGAAAGCGACATAAGTGATTAGCGACCAGGTATGCAGAGGTAGCGACCGGAGTAAGCAAGACAAAGCCCAGTAATGAAGAGAGATAGCAAAATAGGCAGCAGATTAGCATGACAATAAACGCAACAGGTAAAGCAGTTAGGCAGGGCAGCATGTCTACTGTAAGAAATCATGACGAG